AAACGGGAAAAATTATGTTTTTGTACGAGTTTTACAGTACTTGCAATTCAATTAGACCATAATATAAGTGTCGAAGGTTAGAGGTATTACAAGAGAGTAACATACACATAAAAGAAAAAAGAGAGAGAAGAAAAACAGATGCTTGATAGGAAAGAAGGAGCAAACCACACCAGAGCACGCACGGAAAAAGAAATAAGATAGAGACAACTGAGGGATCGAAAAAAAAGAAGCAGGACCTATGTCGAAGCGGACACGCACAGAAGCGAGATGGCTACAGGAGTTTATAGCTGTAGGAGCAGACCACACAAGAGTACTCAGCAATCACCCGCATCTTCACACAAAACAGGCTGCATCACGGGACGCTTCTTGTTTGTTTTAGTAGAGTTTTTACGGCGCTCGCAACTGCCTAAGGTCATATGAGCGCCATGAGTTGGATGTCAACAGCGAAGTCCATACAGGAAATCAGGCCTACTCTGCTCACCTCTCGAACTTCAACAGCACAAAGTCTGCTTCGACTATCAAGGCACCTCGGAAATAGCGGGTCACAAGAGTGTGAAAAACATACAAAGAAGTAGAGGAAAAATGACGACAGAAAGGATTAGGAAAGAAAAGGCAGCAGTTCCCTGTTGCAGTTCAGACAGTTATGAGCGTGACATTGATGAATCAACCCATTTAGTTTTAGTAAGAGTTTTACTGCACTTGCAACACAATAAGGTCATATAAGTGCCGAAGAATAGATTATGTGTTACCGGTACAAGAGAGTAACATACACAAAAAAGAAGGAGGAGAGAAAAGGACGACAGATGTTTGATAGGAAAGACGGAGCAAAAACCACACCAGAGCACCCGCCAACCACCCACGAACCAGCCCATTTACAATTCTCCTGTGCATAAGAACATGTTAATGTCCCCCTTTGGGAATGGCCTAAAGACACTTCAGTCAGTAGCACCGCCCAGGGGGGTACGGGACGCTTCATATCCTCTGGCAGATACAGGGAGAGAATTTGATTTGCTAACGACAGAAGCAGTTCTTGACAAGTGCTCGCACTCTCTCACTCTCATTCACTCACTCTATCTATTTATCTCCCTCTCATACATACTTCCTGCTCTCAATCCTCTTTTACCTCCCTCCTCTCTGTCTGTCTGTCTGTCTGTCTCCCCCCCCCCCCACCCTCTCTCTCTCTCTCTCTCTCTCTCTCTCTCTCTCTCTGTGTGTGTGTGTGTGTGTGTGTGTGTCTCTCTCTCTCTCTCTCTCTCTCTGTCTCTCTCTCCCCCCTTTTCGTACATACTTCCTACCATCTTTCCTTTATTACCCCCTCTGTCTATCAGTCTCCCCCTCCCCGCCTCCTTCTCCCTATCTATCCCTCATTCATACGTCCTGCCCCCTTTTCTTTAATACATTCCCCCTCTGCGTCTGCCTGTCTGTCTCCTACCCCCCCTCTCTCTCTCCCTCCCTCCCTCCCTCCCTCTCTCTCTCTCTCTCTCTCTCTCTCTCTCTCTCTCTCTCTCTCTCTCTCTCTCTCTCTCTCTCTCTCTCTCTCTCTCTCTCTCTCTCTCTCTCATCATCATCAGAGCGGCATAACAAGATCACAAATCAACTTTTGCGAAAAAGCCCCCCCCCCCTTACTTTCTATGCGCCTAGCACTGTATGATGACTGGGACAATAAAACATGCGTTTACCAGGAAGAAACCCGAGGGGTTCGTGAGAGGAGTGTGCATGTGTGCATAAGAAAAAGGAGGAAGTAGACAGACAGACAGGACGACAGGAGGCAGGCAGGCAGGCAGGAACGCAAACAGAATGACTGATGGTGAAAGTAAAAACAAGCAGACAGACAGACAGACAGACAACAGACAGACAGACAAAGGACTGATAGACAGAGAAAGGAGCAAGTGAAGGCAAACATAGAGAAAACACATTAGAGATAGACAGGCACCCTTATGTGTGCAAGTGCGCACACGCGCACACACACACACACACACACACACACACACACACACACACACACACACACATGCAGGTGGGCAGGCAGACAGAGAGACAACAAATCGCAAACAGAAAATGGAGTGTGCAGGCAAGCGGCACACATCATATAAGGATTTGCAAATCGAATTCAAATATTTACTTCTGAGACGAACATAATTTGTTTTCTCACAAGGGAGCCACTTGGTTCTAGTTTCAGCTCAGCCTTACATGCGCGTGGGTTTTTTTGGGTGCTTTTTTGAGGGGAGGGGGGGGATTTTTTTGTTTTGTTTGTTCTAGTAGAGGTTTTACGGCGCTCGCAACTGCATAGGGTAATATGAGCGCCAGAAGATTAGAGGTGTTACAAGAGATTAACAGACATAAAAAAGAAGCAGGGGAGATAAGGACGATAGATGTCTGATAGGAAAGAAGAAGCAAACCAGACCAGACCACCCGCCAACCATCCACTTTGTTTTCTTTCAGTGTTTCTTTTCGGGGTGGGGGGGGGGGGTGAACCAGGAAAAACGTCCTTCAAAGACAAAGACAACGGTTATTTCTACTGGACCCCCCCCCCTCCTTTCCCTTTCCTTTCTATAAACTTCAGTTATGAAAGAACGCCAGCAAAATTCTTTCATTCACAACTGGCACATTATGATTGAACCAAAATCATGAGGATCCCAAATGTCTTCATAAACGTGATCGCCAGATAAATCCTTTCTGAGAGACAAGTCCATTGTGAATCACTAGCGAGTTAGCCTATAATACCAATTCAGCTCCATCTCCTCACCATATAAGAAATTTTAAACCACATAATAAGTAGGTAGTGGAGGCGGATTTCATTGTTAGTTCTCTCTGTCAGATCCCTAGCAAAGCATATGTGAGGTAGCGTGGTGCAGTCAGGCGCTCGTCAACATAATGAAAGTGGGGAAACTGGCATTTTTCCTCAGGTTTGGAAATTTGTATCAAATTTTTGTTTTTGGCTCAACACATTTCATGCTCATCAAAGAACACATTTATGTCTGGATTTTACTGGAAAAACGTTGATTAAAGGTATAAAAGATGTAAATTTGCAGTTTCCACGGACTCTCAAGCTAAGGAAATAACGCAACTTTGGCGGCCATTTTCTTGCTAATTTTACCTCTAAAATCAAGCGACCCCCACCTCTTTTAGTTACCAATATCTTGACTTATATCCTTGATAAATGGACATTTTTTTTTCCCATCCAAAGCAAGGCCAATGGACTGGCTTTAAGATGATATCAATAAATACATATATGCCAAAAAACTGACGAGCGCCTGATTCTACCGCGTCGTGACACATACACCTCAAAAATATATGACAGTGCAACAGAAAGTCACTGGACAAGATATCGATCAAACCACTGTCACAGCACATTTAAACAAAACAAATTATGTATGTTAGAGACAGATAACATGTGAAAATTGCCAGCATAATTATATAAAAAAATATGATGTGTGTAAGACACAAACATAACTTAAATAGAGTACCAACTCATCAGGGAAAACAACATTTTCACCATATGATGCAGGAAAGGAATAACAAAAAGGTGGACGGAGGGAAGATCTATCCTCTATGTGTGTCTTTATGTGTAAAAAAAAATGACATAGACATGAGACTTCTGACTGACTCTAGAAAAGGTCATAGATTTTTCTAAGCATTCATTCAGAGCAGAAAAACTACAGCAATCTTGAGAACACTTAATCCTTAAAGGTACATGAAAATACAGCCAGCCAAACTTAAATGGGCACAGAGCACAGCGCAAGTGGCTGTATATCTTTCCCAGGATCAATGTTTGGACGAAATCTTAGTTAAACTAGGACGGAAAAATTACTTCAACTTGGGTACTTTCACCTGGACTTAAACTTTACCTGATAGAATTTAGGCAAATAGAAACATAGAAACCTCTTTCAAGGTAACCAACCCCCCCCCTCCCCTCCCAAATTTTCAGAGATCATGGAGAAATGAGAACACCCTCATTGAAAGATTCGGAGGTGTTCTGCAGCACTTTCTCCCTTTTGGAACATAGCGACAGACCAAAGAAAAGAAAAGGACAAACAGTAATTTGTTCCAATTTCATTATAGCAATCTTTAATTTAAGAAAAGAAATGTCGTATTTAAAAAATAAAAGTGAGGGGGAAAACCATAAAGTTTAAATAGTAGGCCTATAGGTCAAAGAAATAAGGTAAAAATGTCTTGCTATACACAAATGTAATTTCAACAACAAAAAATCTAGTTACGAACCTGCTCCTCGGTAAGAGAGGACAAGTGATTTGCCACAGCCCAGGCATCTACCTTGGGGGAGAAATGGTTGATAATGGCTCTGAGGACACAGACAGAAAAGTTTCTTTACTTCATACAGTGGGCATGGCTCCAAGAGAATGTCACAAAATGTTGAAGAAATAAATATCATTTTATCCTCAAAAATAATTTAGTCAAATCAGATCTTGCCAGTAGAGTAATGTTTACATGACTGTAAAATGGCACCTTGCACACAAATGTTTCTCAAGAATCTGAGAAACTTTTTAATGCTATAAGTGTGATGAGATTTGGTGTAGTAAAGGCGGTTATAAACGTTGAGTTTCTACAGACAAGACAGATCTTAGGTAAACCATGACAATAGGCAGTGGGGCCTTGTGTACAGAAAACTTTACAAAGGCGGTGTGATGATGTCAAATCTGACTATACCAGTACCCATATCAGACTGGAAATAGTATACCCAAGCCCTTGCATCCATACAAATTTCTTTGTCACTGTCAGAGCTAAGACACCGGCTTTCAATACTTTGATCATATTTTCACAAATATATACCATTTACAGAGATATCTCACACACTGTCACTCACCTGATATTGACCAAATGATTGGTCAGCTTAGCAGCAGAATCTTTGTGCTCACTTTCAGTAGCAGTATACCTAAGAGCTGTAAAGAAAAAAAAAGCATGTCCTTTATATATGCAAAACATGATTCAAAGTTAAAAAATGTTATATTGTACGTGATCAGCATTTTCATCAGCTTTCTTTCAGTGGGCAGAGTTGCCTAGTAAGCTGGTTCGTAATGCTTTAACCTTTCAAGTGTTGCTGACAAACAGCCTAAGGTTTCAGGGAAAGCCATATTTTCCAATAGAAGGTCAGAAAAGCTCGAGAACAGGCAAACCAAGCAAATAAAAGCCATAAATCTCTACATTTTCAGAAAGTAGAATAGAAATAGGAAGTAGAGATCCTTTGCAAAGGAGTTGAAATGCTTGGTGATATAAAATAAATGGAATGAGCAAAACCAAAATAGCAACTCAAATCACAGCCCATCAAATCCTCCTCGATACCAAAGAACAAAACTTAAGGCCGATTAAATCAGCCATCAACACTAGGAGGGTTAAAGCAGAAACTTCGCAAATTTGATACCTTCTCTATTCAAAGTTGTTGTTTGTTTTTTTAATGGGTTGTAGTGACATGAAAAATCCCTTTCAATACGAGACGGGTTTATCTGAATAAATGACATTTCAGTGCTAAGTTCTTTGGTCCACAAGTGTAAGGAGCCTTGAAAACTCCAATAAGATACATAAGATTCTAAGTCAAATTCAAGATCTTCAGATAACTAGGAGGGTGCCTTGACCACTACATCATGCTGACACCCTCCATTCTTCCTTACGTGAACAAATCTCAGCTACGCAACCCTCTCAAAAGAGTTTGTCTTCTAGTTTCTCTCCCCGTTTACTATTCTTGGGGCATTTCAAATCACATTTTCATACGAGTCTCAAGAACAGAAATTTGGGAAAAGAAAATAGCAAATCACTTGCTGGCCTCCAAAACTGAGACAACTGATAAGCTTTCCATTTTTATTCAGAATACAAATTCGGGTTGTACATGCTATGAAATTGATGAATTTTTACAGCTCAAACAACAGTCACAACAAGGAATATTTAAAAAAAAACAAAAAAACATTTGAACAGTATTATGAATGCTAAACCACATCAATGAGCATCAAAGAAGTGTTAACACATTGAAAGACATACAGTTTAGCTACATAAGAGACCACTGACTCCGCCATTTATCATCATAATCTTCATCATCATCATCACTATCAGTAGTTGGAACAGTACCATCATTACAACCATTATCTTCAGTACTTTTATTTTGTAAAAACAAACCTTGACCTTTTAAAAACTTTCATGCCTTTGATGAGAAAAGAAAATTAACTACTCTACCAGCCGTTACAAAATTAACGAATCACTGTAAAAAAAACAAGGCATTCAAAGAATAGACATTGGCCTCGTCTTTAAAAATTTAAGACTAGTCTCCTGTCACATTTACAGAGCCTGATCTACTCCGGAGATGCTGAGACAGAATCAAAAAAAAAAAAAGAAGAAAAGTCCCCAACAATATTAAGAGCATTTTTACAAAAGAGAGTTAAATATATCAAAATCAATGACGATTTCATTAAGTTTTTCTAAAAAAAACTCTTACCCATGGAATAGACATTGTCAAAGGAGTGATGCATGCGGATAATTTCATAGTACAGTTCATCATAGCTGGTTGGATTCGGCAGGAAAGTGTCTCCATATGTGACAAACAGGTTGAAAATATTGACCACCTGAAATGAAACCAAAGCATTAAAAAACCATTAAAAACTTGTATCATGTTGATCAAATAAAAAATACAACAAATATTTACTTAAAAAAGGTGTTTGGTTTAGAAAAACAGCCAGGCTGAGCTTATAAGCAGGTTTTGCATACTGGGTGCCCAGTATATTTCATTTAAATTGCCCATAGCTGTGAATTATCCAGAAGCCGTTCAACAGTCTCTCTCAATACTATTTTGCATACTTACCATTTTATACAATTCTATTAATATATTCATAACCATAACATGAGAGGGGGGGGGAACTCTTGTGGTCTAGAGGTTATGGTGTGCGACTCTCATTCAATAAGTCCTGGGTTCAAAACTTAGCAACAACAGAAAATTTTCTTTTGTAAAATGTTCTCCTTTCACCTCCTTTCCTGCACTCTAACCATGTTCTGTTGTCTGCATTCATTTCTACTTTCTGCACCCTCCTTCCCCTCCCCTTTGCCCCCTCCTCTAGGCTCCCGACTCTTTCTGCAGTCTTTCTGCTGCTACTCCTTGGCTGTCTTTCAGCCATACCCCTGATCTTTGGGTAAGTAAGATCAAACACCTAGCCTTCTCAGATAAGGGTGAACAATCTCGGAGGTCCAATGAGCAAGTTGTGCACTTTAAAGATCCCTTGGTGGTCCAAAAATCGATAAGAGTAGGCTTGGCCACCACCCAGGCGAAATTCCAAATTCCTAAAAAACTGAAAATGTAAAATGAGTCCCACGCGCTCGTATGACTCTGTGCAGTTGTGAGCGACATAAAACACTTACAAAAACAAACAAACATAACATGAAAGGGGAGTTTTATGTGAATCTCACCTTTGAGGCTAAATGGAACACATTGTACTTCTTCACTAGCTGGTTTTCATGGGACAGGAGAAACTTCAACAGGTTGATCAAGGCTGAAAGAAACAATACCTAGCTGTTATTCAATGGAATATATCAATCGGTTACCACAAGAATGAAGATTATTACAAAAGTTCAATGTGCTTTCATAAATTGAAAACTACATAAGCTGAGATACCTAACTTCAGGCGAAGGGAAAAAAAACATACAACAAACCCTAAACATAAAACATTACCTAAAACTTATTGCGCTTTAAGAATAAAAATAACACATAAAAATGTACCAAGCAAACAGGCGAGCCATTTTTACATTACCTGTCCATAAATGTTTCCAAGGATACTGTATTCGAACTCGCAATTTTTTCTGATAACACAAGACTCGGTGAATGATTCCCAAAGACCTCCTGAAAGAAAAACAAAAGAAGATGCAAACAGCAATCCAAAAGGTGGCTGAAGTCACAAATTCAAAATCTTCGTGGAAAACAAAACAAGCAAATCACAACAACAAAAAAAAGGGTTCATGAATAAAACCAGGAGCACAGTTGTTATGCTGTTACCAATCCAGTATCATTTTACAACAAAATGAAAGGTCTCCTTTACATTTCCATTTAAAATTCTCCTCAGGCAGGCCTGCGCTGAGTGCATTATGCACACTTTTCAATGAATACAAAATCAAAAATACCCCTTTAGAGATTCAAATCTAGGCGACCTTTACTGCAGAACAGCATTTTTTTTTTTTTTTTTTTTTTTAGTAAAGTGTTTTACGGCGCTCGCAACTGCATAGGTCATATGAGCGCGCGGGACACTCCTAATATTTTCAGTTGGTAGGAAATTTTGAATTTTGCCCGGGTGGCGGCCGAAGCCTACTCTTATCGATTTTAGACCACCAAGGGATCTTTAACGTACGCAACTTGCACACAGGCCCTCCGAGATTTTTCACCCTTGTCCGAGAAGGCTAGGTGTAGATCTTTCCTACCAGAAGATCAGGGGTGTGGCAGAAAGACAGCAGTAAGGAGGAGCCAAGGAGTAGCAGTAGAAAGGCTGCAGAAAGAGTCAGGAGCCCAGAGGAGGGGGCAAAGGAGGTGAGGGGGTGGGGGCAGATAGTGGAAATGAAAGCAGACAACAGAACATTGCTAGAGAGCAGGAAAGGAGGTGAAAGGAAACAATTTTAGAGAAGAAAATGTTTTCGTTCGCTACCCGGATTCGAACCCGGGACCTTTGAATGAGAGGCCAACACCTTAACCTCTAGGCCACGAGAGCCCCCGAACAGCATTTATCAACTGAACCAAAGGTATGAGCATAATAAGCAAAATTGATTTCACTTACACATAGAGTTCCATTGGGAAAGTTTTCATCAAGTGACTCTGAACAAATTCAACCATCAAATCTGTGGGTTAAAAAAAAAAATGAAAATTGGTGAAAACCTGATACTTACAAATACATCTTTTCATAATGAAAACATGGGAACTTAGTATTAACACAGTCCAGGGACAGAGAATTATATCTTACACTTGCACGAGAGAAATATGAAAGATTTTATCTCAAGACAAATAGTCTGTTCTTCTGTATCTTCCCTTCTCCTCTGACAGACAAGAGGGGTTGCCTACTCTAGGTTCTCTAAAAACTCAGAGCAATTGATCTTCACCTATGTGGTCTATATTTCAGACTAAAATGTCCAGTCTCACATCTTTCTGGCTGAATAGATTGCTTTCAATGTACAGTACAAAATCCTCCAAGACAGTCACCCACTGCCGAGGAGAAAAGTGTTTGTCTCAGACAGGTGGACTTCTTGGACTGTATCACTATAGTGTAAAAAACTAAGGGAGGAAAGTGGGGAGTGGTTGCATGAACATTTGACTGGTGATTGTCTTGGAAAGGAGGCCGTGACAGCAGTTTGACTGTAGCTCTTCATAACTGGAATCATTATTCATTTTTACACCATGCTCTTTACAACAAAGTATGTTTCAATTTTCAACTTAGCACCTCAGAAACCAAGGTGGAATGAATGCTCTCATCTTTCAGCAGCTAAGGTGCCAAAGGTATGCAAAGGGCACACTGAATATCTGAACATACTACCTATTTTGAAAAAGGCTCGCTAAACTGTAACTGCTCTACAAGGGCATCAACCTGGATACTTTGGCAAGACAGGCAGGCATCACCCTTCTTCCCCCTATTCCAACCACACCCCCCCCCCCCTAAAAAAAAAAAAACCACTGCCCCTTTGAAACAAGTGGCAAACCCAGGAACTTCTACACAAAACTTGGGAATGAAACTAATGTATCTGAACAACACTACTTTTCAGTTGATGCTCCAATATCACTGCATCTACCAAAAACTCTTCTTTCTACAAAACATCTCCAGGCTATTTGCAAAACTCTACATAATATATAATACGCTAAATGTTAATTATAGTGTTGAAATAAAGTGCATCCTGAGGCTAGATATCACATGTCTCCAGACATCACACTTTGAACTTCGACTGATATCGTTAAGTCTTGGTTTAGTAAATACCTAAACAAAATCTTAGAACTAAAAAATACAGTATTACTAAATTCAATAAGAAAATAATTTTGGTACTATGCAAATACACACAAGGTATTTAATTACTTGCAAGAATCCATGAATTGATAGCATATTAGAACTCTCAACATCATTACAGACAGTAGGCTGCCTGCTCCACCATGGTAAAGGAAGACAACAATCTAATATCCTCCACTACAGACTTACCTAGCAGTGAACAAACCAGAGGACGAGACGGAGGATTGACTTCTGTCCTTGCCTTTCTGTGACGCATTGGCTGAAATGCAAGTGATAGGAGAAAAGGTAATAAATAAGAATTTTTTTTTTTATGAATAAAAATGATATTAAAAAAATTTGCATGCAAGCAAAAAAAAAGAAAAAAAAGAAAAACAATGGTTACAGATCACACATAAATGAAAGATGACCACTACATCATACCAGTGTATTTGTAAGAAAAACACAAAAACAAAGTTAACAATATTTAGATCATTCAAGTGGTGGGCTACTTCAACTCAGCCTGTCAAGGTAAAACCCGGCTGGATGGGACACTACATCTAATCAGAAAGACAAAGATACAAAAAAATATCTGCTGTTTGGGGGAATCACATTCACATTATTTATGGAAAAGATGAGATGCATAACCTTTTTACATCACAAATGCTATTAACTTATAAAGCTGAAAGTAAATATTTCCACAAAAGACAACACAGAGAAATACTGGGTTACATCCGACAAACATTAGAAACCATTCAAAATGGCAGAGCTCCAATCACAAAGCATTAGCAAAACCAAATAAACAGAAACTCAAAAGCAACTCATGTAGGCATCTCTGCTAAAAGTCATTCATTTAATGAAGTAAACATTTAACACCTTACCATCTTGTGAAGTGGGACGCGGAATGTCATGTTCGCATCATGCATGATGGAGTTAGCATACTGATCCTGAAAGGAAAAAAAATACAGCTGAAATTGTGTACGACAGCCAGCCACTCATTGTTGAGGAGAAAAGTCGTTGTCTTGGACAGGTGGATATCTTACACAGTGTCATTATGATGTAAAAAATTACTCAAGGGAGGAAAAGGGAAGTGGCCGTTAGTGCAGGTAACTGTCTTATACAGGTCGCCATAAGAACAGGTTTGAATGTATATATGTGTAAAAAGGTTGGGGCAGACAACTTTCAGATGAGACAGCAATAGAAAACAAACCTTGCAAAAACCTAGGACATCCACTTTCATTTGGGGTGCTTCAAAACTAACACACTATAGCATTTCAGATGCAAATATTTTTCCAGCCAAAGCTTGTAAGAAAAAAATAGTGGACACATTTCTTCCTCAACTCTAGGGGAGAAATAAAGGTAGTAGCCTTTTAAGGTTGAATTCAGAACCAATTTAGCTCAATGTGTAGTAATGTCTTTAACCACAAACCAAAGTTTTCTGGGGTAATTTTAGTTTTATTTGACAATGCATAAATACCTCATTCTCTTTACAGTAAAAAAAATCCAAACAGATGAGCTATGGTCACTTAAAGAACATAACATATCCACATGGGTTTTACCCCAACAACGATACCATGAAAATTTACAAATAGAGCCAAAAATCAAATATATCAATTCAAAATTCTACACATTACCAAACTATCTTCTGTCTAGTTCAGAGAGCAAGAAAAAAACTTAAAATGAGGGAGCTGGGCAGAGAGAGAGCAGGCTTATACTAAACCATACAGCCAAGATTAACAAAGCATTCACTACATCTGCAAATATCTTGTCAGAGATTTTTAATATAAAACAAATCGGCATGACAATGGCCATATTTTTTCAAGGAATGGATGAGTACTTTGCTGTTGCTTTTGATGATTTCCAAAGCTTGAGTGTCTTTGGAAACTACGATGCCACACATATGTCATTTTCTGAATGCTATCACTTGCATCCAACATACCTCAGCAATGCATGTCAGAATGATGAGACACAGCTTGGCATTGTTGAACCTTGTTGTCTCTGTAACAAAATATGGAAGAGTCCAATGTGAGACTATTGCATTGCTCCAAATCCAGCTCATCTTTGATCAAATTACTTACAAGTCTTCCATGCAAAAAGAATCCCATAGCCATAAGTCTGATTAACTGGATTGCGTGGTACAAATCGAGGAACTGCTCCGAGACAAAATGTACTAGTAAATAAGGACAGCATAACTTTGACCCATTGAATGTCCGAAAGTAAAGAAACAAATAACAATTACACAAGGAATAAACTTATCATCTCTGCATAGAAGAAAATATGAATGTGAAACAGAATCAGAATTGGAAAAATAATAGGAGCATAACACATGTAATTAAAATTGGATATCAAAATGTTAATGATTGCCAAGTAATGTGTATGGAAATCTTAGAAAAATAATTCTTATCAAAAAGCAACAATCTTCTTAAAATTCATCAGTCTACAATCAACAAGCAAAGCAGTAATCCAGATTCATTAATCAATACAGGAGTACACAATACCACATATATTTTTTTTAAATAACCAGGCCTTGGATATATATGAATTCCACACTGACCCTTGGTCTCCTGAGTGACAATGGAGCTGTACTGCAAGAACGTGACCAGGAGATTTGTGGGTTGAGTCATTGGGCTTGGAGTCGTGGGAGCTGGGCTGGTAGGACGTTCCTGGGTGGGGCTAGAGGGAGCACTTCCTAGAACAGACAAAGCGTAAAAAACTAATACAAAAAAAGCAACACTTTGTCAAATCCTTTTCTTATTTCCCAATAACAACATTAAATGTCAGAAATGCTTGATGGATAACAGATCATTGTAAATGGAAAAAGTAAACAGTCTTAAATCTCTCAAATGTCAACACACAAATTACATCTTCAATTTGTTTCTATTTTGCTTCATTGCGGACTGCTCTTTTTTCTCTCCTGTCCCTTCATCATCAGCTTTTTTCCCAAATTTACTTCAGTCTACATTAAAAGGCAAGAACCTCAAACCTCAAGCTGGCCAGGAGATATAAAGAGTATGCATCTCAAACTTTATGATACTGTCTTGTAACAGGGTGGCTCTCTCTTGTGCCAGTCTGTTACTGTCTTGGATAAAAAGTTACTCGTGCTCTAAACTTACACAATGACCATGATAAATACTTAAACATGATTTTTTTTTAAAGTTACTACGCCGTTGCATTTGTTATGTCGCCGTGAAACCATCAACTCATGAGCTTTCATCATTAGCTCCAAACTTACTTAAAGGGCACTACTAACCTTGTGTGAACGATGCTGGCGATGTGGAAATGACAGGGGAAGATGGAGGTGTCGTCGCTGATGGCGGGGTGTGAGACTGTGGAAAGGGAAAGTAGAATATAAATGCCAAATGTCAATAATGTGAAAACACATTATGCCCCTTCCATACAATTTAGATCATCCACAAGCTGAGCTGATACTGCAGTGCCTATCACAGCCATCCTGCACAGTGTGTGGAATACATTATGAACACAACACTACAGAAAGACGGGATAGGCCTACTCACTGAGATACTTTCGCAGAAAGAAAATAGAATCAATGTCCTTTGAAAGCAAGACAGAGAGCCCAAAATATTAATACATCACAGAAGTCAGTGTGAAAGTGGTCAAAAGTACAGTTAGAGTCGTCCAAGATAGCCATCCAATGTTGAGGTGAAAAACGGTAATCTTAGACATGTGGATGTCATGTACAGTGTCATTATAATATAATACAGAAAAAAACAAAGGGGAGGGGTTGGGGGGAGGGGGGGGTTGGGAAGAGCTTGTCTGCATAGGTGATTATCTTGGAAAAGCAGCCGTTAGAACATGTTCAACAGTACAAGACTAATCTTTCATAACATATAACACTTCAGTCTAAAAGCAAGCAGAAAGAACTCATTTCCAAATCACATGCTAAAAAGATGTAGCGATTAAAAAAATATTTGTATCTCTTCATTCTTTTAGAACATCCATTAACACCCCGGTGTATTTCACAAACTTATAGATCTTCAAACTGGTAAATGAAAGACAAAGGACAAAAATGTCAGCATACTGAACAAAAATTAAGGAAATGACACCAAAACATGGGTCTTGGTGTTGAGAGCCTGGCCTGGATCCTGGGCATCAGCCACAAGTAGACATTATTTGGTACAGTACACCAAAACAGAAAAGAAAAAGGCTCTAAGGGAGGGGTGTTTATAAACAGAACCGAATACACACACATAATATATGTCAAGATATGAAATCAGGCGCTCGTCCATGTTTGGGAATATGTGGGTTATTGGTATAATCTTAAAGCCTGTTCATTTGTCTTTCTTTTCATAAAAATGAGCGCCTGATTTGACCACAATGTCACACATATGATAAAAGAAAGAACTGTATTTTTCCCCCCAGTGGATATGGGTATGAGAGAAAACAGTAAAGTTAGTACAGTCAAACCTGTGTAAGACGGCCACCCATCGTCAAGGAGAAAAGTGGCCGTATAAGACAGGTGGCCGTCTTAGGCAGGACTGATCAAGATGAAGAAAACAAACCATTCCCATCTGAAGTCCCAATCGAAAGTAGTCGCATTGTTATTGTTGTTGGTTTGTATTTTGTTTGTTATTTTTATTTTGTTGCTGATTTTGCGCAAGGGTGACAATAAAACGAAATGTATCAGACGATAAAGACCGAGTGCCATGTTAAAACAAACACATGGGTCGCCACCCCTCGGAGAACGAGCGACGCTTCTGTCGCAAGATCATGTTGACGTCCATTGTTACTTTGTTACAGACTGGGTAAACAGTGACCACTCATCTCACTTACGATTTGTGTACGAGTTCTGGGCGGGGCTTAAGGGTTATGAGGGATCACATGCTTACCTCACCAGCAGCTGAAAATTGGTAGCTATTGGTCAGCAGTGGAAGGGGCCTACGCAACATTATCGGTTGGAGGGACTACCTAACAACGACAGGTGATTGGATTATGACGGTGGGCCACAACGTCAGGGGCCAATGCACAATTTATGACAAAACGTAATGAAGTTACTAAGGTGGCCGTCTAAGACAGGTGTTATTACTTAGGGTGATAGGGGTTGTGTGTTAAAATATGGTGGCCGCGGCCGCGTTGGACAGGTGCCTGTTTTACACAGTAAAATTATATAGAAAAAAAGCAAGGGGGGGAATGGAAAGAGGCCATTTTTACAGGTGGCCGTCTTATAGAGGTGGCCGTCAGGGCAGGTTCGACTGTATATAAATGACAAATGATACAATGAGATACTCACATGAGTAAGAGCTGTGATGAAATTCCTATTCAAATGGATTGCTTCATATAATGCCAGTAAAAGGGAATCATTGGCTCTGAAATAAAAATTAACGAAAGAATTAACTTCAATTTCATATCCATTAGAGTGGTATAATTTAGATCAATCTATCTGGCCACAGCAATAAATTTGAGTTTGATGAATACTGAAAAGGACAAGAGACACCTACTTAACTTCTAAATTCAAAATGCATTTGTCCCTAGCACATAGTAAATACTCTTGACCTGGTAAAAAGGCAAAATTCAGTGCATGACAACTCAGGGAATAAGCCTTCCATTTGTAAGCATAAAAACACAGTGAAGTCATGCAAGCTTAGACAAACATCTTATATTTCAACAAATAGCTAGATTCGCACAGGCTTGTCAAAATCCACACAGCAAAAAAGGACCTAAGGAGCGATTTCAGAATAAAATTTCTTTAAAAAGAGTAGACCAGTTTCTTCTTGATACACAGTTAAAGAACACCTTCGATTCGAAAAGTAGTCCTAAGAGATAAGTGTACTAGGGTCATAAAAAGATATCAGTGAAGACATGGCTTTGGATTCCCCTCAGCTCACATATAGGACTTAAAGTTGAACCTTTACCTCATCATCTCCATTTTCTTTTCCTCAGCAACAAACATGCTACCAACCTGAAATACATTAACAAAACATTCTTTTAAAAGTCCAATTTAATTCTTTTTTTAAAGTCTATTAACACAAGCTGAAAAATTCAAGAAATGATTGATATCAAAGAAAAACAATCACAAATCAATAAACAATTCACCCATTTATGTCAAACTCAAAACAAATCTTGAAAAAGGAACAGACACTCTCAAATCATTTGATAAGGAGAGTTCACACTTCATCGACATGATGATAGCTACTTCTTAGCAGGAATAAGATAGGACGAAAGGAATACTGAAAACAATTATAAGAAAGACATTAAACCACAGCATCCACTATTCATCTGCATATCATTTAACAAAATTATAACATTACAGGGAACAAGAAAGCAGGCTCACCATGCTGGCTAAAGCAGAAAACCAGCCTTGTGTGGGCTCTTCACTCTGGTCCTCATAATCTCTGAAAGACACGAAACACAGCAAATGAAGGAACTGTGAAAAGTCAAAACTACACATCCAAATCAGGTGTATAAAGTAGATAACAAAATCTGAAAGCCAAAAGCATGTCCTGATTTGTTAAAGGCGAATCAAAATTTTTTTAAGCAGCAAAGGAGTATGAAAAAGGATACAAAAACAGCTTATCAAAGTACTCAGATAATCTACAACCTTTATAACATTTACTCTTTGGTACTTTTTATATAGAATTTCCAGGTAACACCTCTTTCAATGCAAAGAAAAAGGAAAAGATTTAATGACTTTTTCATGCACGATTAGTTATTCACAATGAAATAAGGACATATACATTGTTGCACAATTATTACTAATTTTTTTTATGAAAACAGTAACTATGTGAAGGAAACATCAGACTAGTGAGACTTCTCTTCATCCACAATTTTCAGTCTCCAGTCTTCTTACAGAATCAACATAGATCAGTGCTTTTTTTTTATGATTGTAAGAGGAGAAAAAGAACAGAAAGACAAAACTGTATCCAAGCGTCCACAAGGACATAATTAAGGAAAGGGAAACATAAATACAAAACCTGAGTAATCAAAATTCCATTTCTGAACATTTGAGATGTACCTATTGAGGCTACATTTACCACTGTTTGAGAATGCCTGATGTAGACAAACTAAATTCACATTGACATACCTGTTAAATTCAGACAGCAGATGAGACACAATTTGAGCATAACCCTGAAAAGAGAATGAATAAAGACATAATTTAAAATCTGGCAGTTTCTAACTCAATATGCCAATACACGGAATGCATGAACTACAAGTTTGAGAAACAAAGAGATGGTGAAATATATAGAAAAAATATTGTATCCAAGATTTTAAACCAAAGTAAAAGAGAATATGAACTTGATGTTTGAGAAACAAAGAAATGGGAGAAAATATACAACAAAAAACTGTAGTGAAGATTTCGAACCAAAGTAAAAGGGTATATTATATTTCTTAAATAGTAATTACACAAGCAGTTCAATGACCCCAAGGCTGACCTGCACTATATCAGTTGAAAAAAGCAACCAGCAAAGGACACTCATATTTATGACAAATACTAATATGAATTTGTCTTAGTAGTAGTTATCCATCAAGATACTCTCACTATTTTATTTTTCCAGCATGAACAATCAGTATCCCTTACTGATTTTTTGTAAATGATGACAATCTGATCTCCACACAGTTGCTAAAGGGCTCCATTTTGATGAGTGAAACTATATCGTCACAGAAAATCAAAACATGTTGCTTTGTGCACAGGCCGGAAGCTTATATATCTAACAAAAGCAGGACCACATCCAGCTAAAAGGCTGACATATGGTCATCACACACAAAGCTGTAAGACATGTCAATAGAATAAACTAGTACAAATGAAAAAAAAAAAGTCCTATATTTTCTAGATTCTCAAATAGTAATTTTCTTGTTTCAAAAAGATTTTTATGATTCTGAACAAAACAAAACAGTTTAATCATTATTTATCACAATCACAACATTCCCTACACTATCTGAACTTAATTACAATTTGAACTTTTCGCAGCCTTTTCTTCTCAATATGCTATCAACACCTGAAAAAGGTTCATATCATAAAGCAAGTTCACAAATTACTTACTGTGAGAGCCAGCTCATCATCCAAGATTGATAGCTTGACTACATAGGGGTTTGCAGACTGAAAATATCCCATAAACATAGCCCTTTAGATAACAAAAACAACAGTCAAAAAGAGTATACTAGTAACATAAAAACTAATCAGAACAAGTTGACTGGCAAAGGTATGGAGATAAAAGCCGACTGTGAAATACATAATTTTGAGAATAGGGATATCCGACTGCTCACAAACACCATTAACTTGAAAGAAATGGAAAATGAATCAAAATAAATCAACAAGAAAGACCCATTATGACTCTTTTAATTTAAACAGAAGAAAGAGCACATGATACTGCTACCAAGTGAGCTTCATGGATTGACAGGTGTAAAACTCAATAAAATAGGGTCAAACCATATGTGTACTTATAAAAAAGAGCCAGTCTTTTATGGGATAAAGATTAAGATTAAGTGTAACAATAGCCACAAACCAATGAAATGGTAAACAAGACTTATTAGTAACTAATAAACATACACAGAGGACAAAAAAGACAAAGTAGTGACAAGCATTATTATGAATGGACATCAATTCCACATTTGAATGTTAGAGTAACACCTACTTCATATTTCCTGTATTGCACCAACAGCGTTAATAGCAAAACAGCATCTTGTCCCAATATGGGTCTCAGATTCCAGTTACCCAGGATCTGAAAAGCCATTCAGAAGAAAGAACCTAGTACACAGTACACTGCAAGATTTAGTGCATTATATCTATTGGAAAAGATCTACAGAATGTACGTTTTTCTTAGATTCTTTGTAAACTAAACTTACCCCAAAAAAATCAAGTGAGTTTAGGCATCATGTTTTCCTTTTTTCCTCAGCCAGCAAATCAAACCATTTCAGGCAAAAAGAAAAAAAAATTTGCATATCTTTTGAAATAGTCATTCAGCACAAATTAATCCTCTACCTTTCAAAAAGTACGACATAATGTTAAAGCAGTCTCTAATGTCAATAAAACATTAGAAAAGTATTCTTCAGACAGTTCATATATTCTGTTTAATAAAAACATTTCTGTCTACAATGAAGCAGAACAAAAAAGGGAAAGGTTTGAAGGTACAAACAAAATCATGAAGCACAAAAATATATTGTAGAAAGTATGGGAAAACCAAATTACCAGAACCAAAGACTCAAAGAGGCTGTTGATGAGGAGATATTCCAGCATTGTATTCTGACTGATGTTGTCTGTTGCCTGAAACAGAAAAGCGGAGTAAAACACACTCCAATTATTAAGTCCATTTGGAATGCAGCGCATCTTGCCAGAAACTGCATTATCAACTCTGACTACAACAGAAAGAGATGTAGCTGTGAAAAAACTTTGCCCTGAAGATTTCAGTAACATTTCGCTTTAAGCCTGCTTTCAAAAGAATACTTGTCATCTTGATCACAAGTTACTTTGATAAAATCAAGTTAATAAAAAAAGTGAGCACAAGTTGAAGAAAAATATGGGAAAAGACTATTTGATATCTTTCCTTTGACTTGGCTTTGTTTTCAATATTCTTTACCACCCTTATAAATTGGGTTTTTTTAAATCTTGCTAATTTTATGTCAACCAAGTGAACAAAATTACGAGTTAAGAGACAAACAAATGTGGTAACAGAGCCATGTGGTAAGTAATCCCTTACTTAAAATGTCTTCAAAGAATAAGTCATCACTGCTAAATATGATAATAACAAAGAGGGGAAATGATATTAAAATTGCAATTATTTCAAGACTGCAATTAACAGGAATAAACCGAATTCAACTTCCAATAATTATCTTTTAAATATTAGAAAGTACAATACCCAAGAAAAAATAAAATCAGCCCATAAAAGAGCTATACATAAAATGTAAAAAGTCCTGTAAAAAGTGAAAAAGCAGTGTGGTACTCACTGTGACCAGAACCAACATAAACTTCAGAGATAGTTGCTTCAGGGTGGTTGGGAAATCTCCAGTCAAAAAGTTATTGATGCACTCAATCAAGGACTGCACATTATGAAAAACAAAAACAAAGCCAGTGAACTTGTTATTTATAAATTAAAAACAGCAATATTTGTACCATACAATATTCTGACCATTTTTTTCTGTTTGATAGAACTTAGCTGTACCAGCAAAACTCATACAAACTTTTACACAATCTTTAAAGTCATCATCAGCTTAAGGACAAGGAAGTTCAAAAAGGAGAATGGCAATACTATTTTCACAACACTGCTAGGACATTTTAATCATTCTACTACCAATTCATAACTAAGATATTTCTGTTTCAAATGCCTCTATTCCTGTTTTGCACCAATATGCAAACAGGAGCTTCACCAATGGCTGAGGACTGCAAAACTAATGGACAACAAAAATATTTTAAAATTTTAAAATACCAGAAGCAGCCAAGATCTTCAGAAACATTTGAACTCAGCTGTGGATCTATCTAGTTTGCTTAAGTCTCACCCCTCACCCCCCCACCTTTTAAGAAAAGAACCGATGAATGAATCTAATTGCTAAAACCTTTTCCCACCAAAAGCTGGATACCTTTATGAATTGTTGACTTGAATAATATCCTTACAGTGTTGAAAGAGGCATTGCATCTACAGAAAGTTCTGAATTCTAA